CCGCAGAGAACAGAACGCTTCCAGGGACGAATGAGGAGGAGGGCTTGGGATGGGAGGCTGTGTTGCAGCATCGCTGGCCATTGACTTTGGTCCTCCTCCTCCGATATCCGCCACCGTGCCGCGAGGCGCGAGGTGGAGTTTTCTCCAGGTCCTCATGTGTCCTCTATTCTCTGTGCTCAGGACTTCTGGGATTATAGTCTTCTCAAGGCTGGGCCCTAAAATCCAAAATGTCCTGGGCGTTCCCGCGCAGTCTTGGGCTGCCCCTCCATTGACTTTTCCAGAGGCCCCAAGACGGACCAAGAGGGCCCCAGAAAGCGCCCAAGAGGGCACAAGCGGCCTCCAAGATAGTTGAAGAGTGCTCCAAGAAGCCCGAGAAGCCCCAAAGAATCCCCAAGAGCGCTCCAAGAGGACCCCCAAGAGGGCCCAAAGAGGCACACAGCATTGATGACCCTCGTGTGCTTCTATGTGTTTTCGCGTTCTCGCGTTTTCGGGCTTCCGACGCCCCAAGATGGCCCAGAGGTCCCCAAGACGGCCCCAAGAGGCCCCCGAGAGGGTCCAAGAGGGCCCCCAAACTGCCCAAGAGGCGTCCAAGATCGCACAAGAGGGCCCCAAGAGGGGCCCAAGAGGAGGAACACGAACCTCCCAGGAGGCCCCAAGAGGCCCACAAGATAGCCCAAGAGACCCCCTAGAGGCCCCATGAGGCCCCCAAAGAGGCCCCCGAACGGCCCCCAAGAGGCCTCAAAGCTGCCTCCAAGAGGCACCCGATAGGCCTCCCACGAGATCCATACGAATGTCCAAGAGGCATCTAACCCGCAACCCAGGCACGGTGGCGGGATGGGCCGAAGGCCACTATATCCGCCGCCCCCTGTGGTCTTGCCACAGGGGTGCACGGCGTGCTGGATGTTTCAGGTTTTGGTTTTGGTTCTTTTTCTAAAAGAACTCCCCAGTGGGCTTCGGCCCGTCCCGCCGGCCACCCGCAAGTTTCCGAAAATCCATCTGTCAATGCCTTTGTTGCCCCAACTTGGCCCAAGATGGCCTCCAAGACGGCCAAGATGGCCCAAGATGGCCTCCAAGATGCTTCCAAGACGGCCAAGATGGCCTCCAAAACGGGTAAGATGGCTCCAAGATGCACCCAAGACGGCCCAAGATGGCCTCAAGATGGTCTAAGACGGCCCAAACGGCCCGCAAAAGGCCTCCAAGACGGCCCAAGAGCCCTCCAAGACGCCCTCCAGGAAGGCCCGAATAGTTAAAATCATTGATTTTCCTTAGGTTTTTCAAGGATTTTGGCATGTTCTTCTTTTCAGCTCTCCGACGGCCCAAGACGGCCCAAGAGGTCCCCAACATCGCCCCAACAGCACCCAAGAGGCCTCCAAGATGGCCCCATGACGGCCCAAGAGGCCCCCAAGAAGGCCCCAAGAGGGCCTCAAGACGGCCCAAGAGGCCTCCAAGACGCCCAAGATGGCCTCCAAGACGGCCAAGATGGCCCAAGATGGCCTCCAAGATGCCTCCAAGACGGCCAAGATGGCCTCCAAGACGGGTAAGATGGCTCCAAGATGCACCCAAGACGGTCCAAGATGGCCTCAAGATGGTCTCAGACGGCCCAAAAGGCCGGCAAAAGGCCTCCAAGACGGCCCAAGAGCCCTCCAAGACGCCCTCCAGGAAGGCCCGAATAGGTTAAAATCATTGATTTTCCTTAGGTTTTTCAAGGATTTTGGCATGTTCTTCTTTTCAGCTCTCCGACGGCCCCAGACGGCCCATGAGGTCCCCAACATCGCCCCAACAGCACCCAAGAGGCCTCCAAGATGGCCCCATGACGGCCCAAGAGGCCCCCAAGAAGGCCCCAAGAGGGCCTCAAGACGGCCCAAGAGGCCTCCAAGACGCCCAAGATGGCCTCCAAGACGGCCAAGATGGCCCAAGAGTAGCCAAAAAGGCACTCAAGAGACCTCCTCCTCCATTCCCCCCCTTCCTATCTCTCCTCTCCTCCCCGTCCTCCCCCACGTGTTCCCCGAAGGCTGTAAAGACCGATTCGGGGAACATATGGCCCAATAACTTGGCAGACCTCTGGCCACAGCAGTCGGCCGCATCGGCGCTTCCGAAAGGGCAGGGGGCGGCGGTGATTCGCCGTAGGCGTCTTCGATCCGCCGCCCCCTTCTGCTGTAGCACAGGGGTGCCCGGCGTGCTGGATCCTATCGATTTTGGTTTTGGTTCTTTTTCCAAAAGAACTCTCCCAGTGGGTTTCGGCCCGTCCCGCCGGGGTCCCGGGATTTTTTCCACGGACCTCACTTCCCCAATTTTCTGCCCCAGACGGCTCCAAGATGGTCTCCAAGATGGCCAAGATGGCCTCCAAGATGGTCCAAGATCGCCTCCAAGTCCGCCCAAGATGGTCCAAGGCGGCCTCCAAGACGGCCCAAGAGAGTCCAAGAGGGCCCCAGACGGGCCAAGAGGCCCCCCCAGAGGCCTCCCAGACGGCCCAAGATGCCTCCAAGAGGTCCTCCAGGAG